TCCTGACACGTTTATGGTTCCATTTTTTTTAAAGATTTTACTTATTTATTTGAGAGAGAGAGAGAGCATGAGTGGGGGGAGGAGCAGAGGGAGAGAGACAAGCAGACTCCCTGCTGAGCAGGGAGCCTGACTCGGGGCTCCATCCCAGGATCCAGAGATCATGACCTGAGCCGAAGTCAGGTCCTTAACTGACTGAGCCACCCAGGCACCCCTATTGTTTCATTTTTTTATGTATATAGTTCTAAAAAATCTATTGGAACATAATTTTGGCATAGGTGTAAGGTAAGGACCCAATCCAGCCCTCCTGGTGGACACTTGGTGGTCCCAACAGCATTTATCAAATAATGTGTGAAAGCCATGATCAGATTTAAGCAGTGTGTCGATATGTGGAATTTGCAGAAATATTTTTTTTTTCTTTTAAAGATTTTATTTATTTATTTGACAGAAAGATACACAGAGAGAGAGGGAACACAAGCAGGGGGAGTGGGAGAGGGAGAAGCAGGCTTCCCGCTGAGCAGGGAGCCCGATGCGGGGCTCGATCCCAGGACCCTGAGATCATGACCTGAGCCAAAGGCAGACGCTAAATGACTGAGCCACCCAGGGGCCCCTGCAGAAATATTTTCACTAAAAAGTTGTCCTGACCGGGGCACCTGGCTGGCTCAGTAGAGTGTGCGACTCTTGATCTTGGCGTTGTGGGTTCGAGCCCTATCTTGGGTGTAGAGATTACTTAAAGATAAAATCTTAAAAAAAAGTCCTGATTGTATTTCAGCATCCTTTTTTTTCTTAAAAAAAAAAAAAAAAAGAATGTTTGGGGGCGCCTGGGTGGTTCAATCGGTTAGGCAGCCGGCTCTTGATTTCAGCTCAGGTCATGATCTCAGGGTCATGAGATTGAGCCAAGCTCTGTGTTGAGCTCCACACTCAGTGGGGTGTCTGCTCGAGCATTCGCTCTCTCCCTCTGCCCCTCCTCCTGATCTCTCTCTGAAATAAATACACTTTAAAAAAAAAAAAAGAATTTTTGTTTTTAACCAATGATCCATTATGGGCATAGACTATGAATTTGTTATTGTAATAAAAATAATTCAAAAACGGTTTCATAGGCAAAACTGGCAGTATTCAGCCACACTAAAAGGACTGAGTAACCGTGAATGCCCACTTGGTAAGCACTCAAAAGTTTCTCAAACAGTTCCCTTTTAAAAATTAATAAATATTTATTAATTGATTACAATATAGAAATAGCAGAAGCTAGTAGTGCTGAATCGCCTGAGAGAACCCCTCAGAATACTTGGGGTTCACTGGAGGGAGCTAAGAGTTTGGATCCTGACCTCACCACCTCTTCGCCCTGTCTCCTCCATGAACTTGCTTGACTTCTCTGTGTCACATTTTCCTCCATCTAGAAAATGGGGACAGGAATAGGGATGGGTTTTGTGGGGCCTGAAGCTTCTGCAATTTGGGGGAGCCCTCTTAAAACTTACAAATGGAAAGCTAAGCACCTCCCCCACAGGATCTGGGAAGGGCCTTTGGCCAGTAGTAAACTTTATTGCCCTCATCCCAGACCAATCTCTGAAAATAGTGGCTTCTTCACAGGGCCTGTGGGAGTTCCGAGTGAGGTGACATGTCTACATCATCTGCACCCCGGGAGGGGGCGAGCTGGGTCTGACTCCCAGACTGCACACTCAGGCGTGTAAGAAGCACGGCTTCCTTTATGCACCAAAACTGACCTGAAGTTCTGACGCCAAGCCTGCGGCTCCTCAGAGCTGGCCAATGCCTTCGTTTCGGTTGTCCTTGAAGTTTTTAATCTGCTTTGCTCTGAGGAAGAATCAGGAATGGGGTGAGGGAAAGGGTCCATTTTCCTGTGATCGTTATTTGTCTCTGATCATCTGTTCATACACATGCGCACGCATGCACACGCACACACACAGCATGGTGGAGGCATCTGGTGTTCTTTCCGAAGTCCCTGTAAATCTGCTCTCCACAGCTTCTGATCCAAGCATGGGACTTGGGGTCTTTGAGGGGTGCCCAAGGAACACTGTTGCAGCTTGCAAGAAGATGTCTCCTAGTGGGCCCAATTCTAGGCCATACTGAAGATACTGGCCAGTGGCTAAAACTGTGTGGCTAGAAGCAAGGATTGGGTGCCAGACAGAACTGGGTTCGAATCCAGAAAGTCCCTGTTTTCCTCATCTGCAGAATGAGGAGGAGGAGAATTCCTCCGTCAGAGAATTGATGTGAGGAATTAAATGTCACGACGTTAACATAAGTGTCTGACTCACAGTGCACGAGCTCTGATAACAGAGCTCATACTTCACTCTTCTCCATTATTGATGGGGAAACAGAGGTCCCAGAGACAGTGGCTGGCTGGGTCAAGATCACCATGCAACACCTCTATCAGTAGCTGGAGTAAAGGAACCAAAGGCATGCTTATTAATTTTGCAGAAGACCTAAGACTAGGCGCAGTGGCTGGTATTTTAAATGATCAAACCAGGGTTCAAAAGCATCTAAAGCAGACGACATGATTGACTAACTCCCCTGAAGTAAAATGGAATAGGGATGGATGTAAAGTGAAAAGATTTTTCATGAAAAAGTTTTGGCTAAAGGTTCAATATAATCCCACGTTAAATGGCTGCCCAAACTAATGTGATCTTAGGCTGCATCTGTAGAGATATAGAGTTGAGGATAAGGGAGGTGATGGCTGGAGGGTTGGGTTCAATTCTGGTTGCCCTGCTTTTTTTTTTTTTTTAAGATTTTATTTGTTTATTTGAGAGAGAGAGTGAAATAGAGAGAGCATGAGAAGGGGGAGGGTCAGAAGGAGAAGCAGACTCCCCACTGAGCAGGGAGCCCGATGCAGGACTCGAACTCAGGACCTCAGGATCATGACCTGAGCCGAAGGCAGTCGCCTAACCAACTGAGCCACCCAGGCGCCCTGGTTGCCCCGCTTTTGAAGGGGCAGGGAGAGGCTAGATTCCAGTCCGTGGAGGGCAAAGGACGGTGAAGAACTGGGGATACTGACCTTGGAGAGGAGAAGACCCAGGGGCGGAGGCGGGAGCGAAGTATCACCCCGCCTGGCTCCAGAGCAGAACTGGAAACCCACTCTGGTCTGTCAGGAGCAGGTGGAAGTCAGGTGAGGAAAGGATCCTGCTTTGAGCCCTCAGATAGTCTCAACAAAAACACTGGGCCCTACTGATGAAAAAGCCTACTTGGCTCTATAACCACATCTTATAGTCAACAAATATGTAATCCATATTTCTCCTATTCTAAGGTATACTTAAAAGTGAATATTACTGAAACTGGGACTGTCTTACAATTGATATGTATATTTAATGCATCCTTCTTTTCTGAAAAGTTGTTACTTAAGCATTTTTGAATGAGCAAAGTATACAATTGGGAAAGTTTTTTTTGACAATCTGTATTTCATGTGACCCTTGTCCCATTGGAATGCATGTCTTGAATTAAAAGAAATCTACCTAAATAAATAACACATTTAAAAAAAAAATCCAACATTCTCTTCTTAGTAAAGCCATAGTCAATCTATTGAATCCATCAGCGGGTGACATTCACCTAGTTGCCGGCGTCTTGGCATCTGAAGTGGGATGGAGACAGGCTATTAAATCGGTTTTAAAACATTCAGAGCAGCAGGTTCTTGGCTGGGAGGAAAAAAAAAATCCACTTCTCAAGAGATGTTATTCCTTCAAAGGAGAACCTACTTCTTCGTAAAGGGAATTTGGAGAGAGCTTTTTGTTCTGCCGGGACAACATCTGGATTTAAATATGTCCATCCTCAAAAGGAGATTTCTCATAATGGACCGAACTCCAACCACTCAGAGCACAAGGACCGGCGAGCTTTCAAAAGGAGACCCCTGCGGTGCCGTCTGAGGGCCCTTGTGTCCCTGGCGCGCTGGCGGTCCGAGCAGGGCTGGGCAGAAGGGCCGCAGACTCCGCTGCTGGAACTGAAGGATTCTCCCCCTCCTCCCTCCCCCTGGACCCGGGGCCTGAATTCATTTCAGAACACATATGGTTTCAAGAGGCTCTTTTTTATGCTACAGCCGCCGAGGAGAGCTTAGCATGAAAGACCATTTAGAGCCGGGAAGAAGGATGCTAGGCCAAGGCCACGGGTTTGTCAAGGGTGCTGCATGGAGCCCGGCCACCTGCGGACCGTGCCGGCGGGCACCGAGCCAGGTCCGGATCCCCTGGCAGGCCGGGCCCTTCCCGTGCGACCTTGGGGAAGTTGTGTAACCTCTGGGCCCCGCGACGCCCTTTCCTGGAGCCCGGAGCTGGAACGAAGCCCCTCCAAGGCCTGACATCAGAGATGACGCGTCCTCGCAGGCGATGACTAGGCAGAACGCAATGCCACTCCCTTTCTCATGTCCCGGAGGGCGCGGGGGTGTGTCGCCTCCCCCCCCCCCAGGTGTCCTGGCTCCTCCAGCAGCTGTCCCGCTGCCCCGCCCCCAGCTCTCCCAGGGCCCGCCTGACCCTCGCTGGCTGTCAGCGACACGGCCCAGTCCTCCGCGGGCACGGGCGTGGGCTGGCCTGAGGCGCCCCCTCCTGGTGACCGCACGGTGGCTGGGCACCCGGGACGCCGGGCCTCCTCTCTGAACTAGAGGAAGTCCCTTCTGGTGTCCAAACTGGATCTCCCCTGCGGCCCTTAGAAACCCGATGGGGCAGCGGAGGGTATCTTCTCTCCCCTCTGCCTTAGAAAATCAGGTCACATGGAGTCCAAGTAGTTATTTTTCTGGGCTGGCTGGACTACCTAGAGGCCCAAATGGAAGGGACTTCGGGGGGTGAGCCCTTTGCAGGATTTCTGTGCTAAAAGGGCCATCTGGGGAGTCAGGGTGCCCTGCATGAGTGGGGTTCTCACCTGGGTGTGGGAAGAGCAGAGCGGCCCCCAAGGGAAGGATGTAGGTTAGGGCTTTTGAGGGAAAAATAAGGATGGTTAGGGAGCCTCTGCCTGAAGGAGGGTTTTGGTACAGCCCTCAATTCACTGACTGAATGGGTTTCTTCCCCCTACAGCCTGGTGGGACAGATTATCAGCGCTTCTGCAGTGGTATTGGCAAAGGACCTTCGATGAGCCACTTGTCTTTAGAACAGAGGACGCAGGAAGGCTTCGAGCTGAACACCAGGCAGGACTTCTCAATTATGAGGGATGTCAGACCTCAGAGAGGAAGGCCGAACTGGGACCTTCCCATCCAGGAGAGCCCCAAGGCAAGTGGGGTCTGGACAAAGATGGGGAGGTGGCCCTGAAGCTCCGTGTCTATCCCGAGGGGCCTGTCACTAGGGTGTAGTCCTTGGGGTCCCAGGATTGAAAGGCCTTTTGTGAGGCGCTTGGCAGCTGTGGCCTTTGGGATGGGATGAACTGGGCAGGTGAGGATGGGCAGGGTAAGAAGCCAGGTCCAGAGTCATTGCCGCCCTCATCCTGCAAACTCATCTTCCAACGCCACCCCTCAGCTCACCTCCTCTCTGGACAGCTCTTGATTCCCCATGAGAGGTCACACCGTCCTGCTCCATGCTCCCACCCCTCCCCTTCTGGAATGGTAGCTCCATGTCTGCCCTCCGTGCTGGGATGTAAGCCCTAGCCTGGCTCATCATTGGTGCTCAGGGAATGGGTGGGGACTTCAGTTGATTTGGGAAGGTGTCCCAGGTCTTCCCTGGCTTTAGAAAGGGTTTGGGTGGGCAGAGAAGGAGGCAAGCCCCAAGGCTGGACTGATGAGGGACCTGGGCAGTCCCTCCTCCTTCTGCTTCCCTGATCCCTCAGGCTCCGACCTTCCATGGAGGGGGGGCGGGGGCTGCCCTTCCCTCCATTCAGACAGCCCCTCACTCTGGGCTGGCCCACGTATGGACCCCTCCTCATCCAACTCACCTCTGATTTCCCCCTGAGCCCATCAACCCAGCATGGCTATCCTACTTAACCCCACCCAGTTCTGATACCTGCTCCAGGCTGCCCTGTATGTGGGTGTCCCCTCAGCCCATTCGTACTCCAACCCCCCCAGGCCAGGCTGCCGCTTTGTGACAGATGCTCTCCTCACCCTGTTGGGACTCTGACACCTGTGCTGAGCTGCTGCCCACATGGACCCTTTCTCGCCCGGCTCTGGCATTCTGCTCTGGTCCTTTCTGCACCCCCTTCCCAAGCTGGTGTCCCCCTTGCTCTGCTGCACCTAAGGGTTTAGGACAGATGGGTCAGGAAGGAAGGAAGGGAGGAATCGAGGGGGGGGGAGGGAAGAGGAACAGAGCAGTGTTTTTGAAAAGAATATTCTAACAGTGGAAACTTTTGTGCAAGCAATATCTTGGATTATATAAAATAGAGATGCTCTGGTTGAAGACAGAGAGGGAGGAGGGAGGGGGGAGGGGGAGAAAGAGGGAGCTTGCAACTACGCCTGGAACCCCACCCACTTGGTTCCACTCAGAACTGTCACTAAGTCCTAGGGTTCCTTGGTGTACACTTGGGGAACCCTGGAAAAGAAATCTGCCCAGAAGAAATGGATGCCGCTCCGCAGCCACTTAGGTGGAATCCTCTCGAAGCTTTTCAGAGAAGCCGCGCTTGAGGCCGCTGGCTCATTGTCCACCCTGGGGTAGCTCTCGCAGGGTGGAGCAGAGGGGAGGCGGGGGGGGGGGGTGCGCGCAGTGGCTCCTGCCGGGAGGAGGTGTCTCTGAGGGGCTCTGGGCAGGTGTGGAGGGCCTGTGGGAGGCGGGTCAGGGTCTGCTGGACACAGGCTGTGAGTTGCAGGGCTTGCCTGTGCTGAGGTGTGGGGCAGACCACCCCTTCCCCATTGGAGCCCTTCTGTGACTCTCTGTGTCCCTGTCTCTGCTTACTTCTGGGAACAGAGCCTAGGGATTCTGCTCTCCTGGCTGGAGCTGATGGCCCTCGGGTCGTGAGCAACACTTCACAGTTGACAAACCTTTCACCTCTATGTGCTGATGGGGTTTCATCTTTGCAGCCATTGGTGAGAGAGTCCGTTTACTAATCCAGTGCCCCCACCCACTGAGGAAAGAAGAGGAAGTTAGGGTCAGAGGTTGCGTAAATGGCCCTCTGGCATGCAGAGAAGAGGCCAGGAGGCCCAACAGCTCCAATCCCAGCACGTTCCCTGAACCCTGGGTCTTTCCCTGGGCTTCTCCCCCACCGTGTGAGCCAAATGTGAGGTTAGGGCTTAAGGTGAGGACTCAGTAGTCAGGCAGAAGACAGGTCAAGTGTCAGGACCCTTTCCCAGCACCCCAGGGCAAGCTCTGAGGCCCCTCACTCGGGTGGGGGATGTGAAATAGGATGACCATATAATGAGTCATCCAGATTAGGACACTTCTGAGAATGAAAGGGAGCGTCATTACTAATTACCCTGTGGCAACAGCTGAGAAATGGGAGGTAAGATCACCCTATTATGGAACCCCCTGCCCCACTCCTTCTCCACCTCCACAGCCTCAGACCCCTAGACCAGATGCAGAAGAGCAGCTATTCACTGGACGCTCTGCAGAGCTTGCTTTATTGGCCCTTCATGACAATGCGTGGCTGATCCAGTTTTTATTTCCTTTTTATTGACGGAGAGACTGAGGCCCAAAAGATTCTTGCTCAAGAACACACAGCTGGTAATTGGAGCTGGGATTTGAACCCAGGGAGACTGGCTTTCCTCAGAAGGATTATAATAAAATTTTAATGAGTTAGTTTGGGCCACAAGAATTGGACCGTGGAATGGGGGCTCCCAGAGCCTCTACTCAGACCCTCCCCCCATCTCTCTTAGCTGTCGTTAGCTCAGGGACATCACTGAAAGGACAGCTTTGAGTGGTGAGGGGATGTGTAGACGAGGGAGGCAGGCAGGTGCACTCAACAGAGGGAAACGTGTTAGGAGTGTGAAGTAGAAGGGTAGCAGCAGGATGAGAATAATAAAAGGTAACATTTATTAAGCACTTACTGTATCCCGGGTTCCGTTTGAAGTGTTTTCAAGGTATTAACCTACTTCATCCTCGCAACACCCTATAAACTAAGTACCATTATTATTTCCATTTTACAGATGAGAAAACTAAGGTCACTGCTCTTTATTACACAACTAGCAAGTGGTAGAGTCAAGGTCACACAGTGGGCGTACCCATCATGCAGTTTGTCCTTAAGGAAGAGGATGCCGCTGGCCCCCCGGGGTTGGGTGGGGGACTGAGTCCCTCTAGCCTGCTTCCTCTAGGACATCAGACCACAGATTTTCAGGGAGGAGAGAGTCCCGCGCTTCAGCCTTCTGGGAGGGCTGGCCGAGGCTGTGCACCGAGGCCCCCTTGGGCTCCTGTCTCCCCGCAGGCGTGCAGTCGGCCGAGGTGGGGCCACGATCCCTGCCGCCTTCTGCGGCGGCTCATTTTCCTTCATTGTCTTTAAATGCTTCTCGCTGTTTTTAAATCTAATTTTTCAGCTTCTTTTTTATCTTCACTCAAGTTGCTTTAATGAAACGAAAATGTGTCTGTTTCCCTCTGCTGGAGCTGCCCGGGGAATTTCAATATAAAACAAACAAGTTGGCTTTTAAAATTAAAATTTTATGGGTGGCATTTCCTCATTTAATGGGAGGCACAAAAGGCTGGAGTAAAACCAATTAACACGGGGTTGGGACTCGGTGTTCGGCAAAATTAAACATCAGCAGCGCGGTGTGCAGGGGCGCTGTTGGTGCGGGGCTGGGGGAGGTGTGCAGTTGGGCAGCGGAGGGCAGGGACCTGGCACCAGCACCCAGCGCCCCGCGCCCGCTCGGCACAGTCACAAGGCAGGTGGTTGTGGGGGCGAGCAAACAGGGGATGGCCGCTTCAGATTCCTGGGGCCCTGGGCACCAGAGTTTGGAGAGGCAGCCGAAAATAGCTAAGGCCTCTGCAAGGGCCGGAATTCACTGGATAGTTCTCTTCAGGGACGGTCTGAGTCCTATCCATGACGGTGGGGACCCGGGGCTTGATCATGGCCGTGCCCCAGGTCCCAGATGGCGCCAGGAGTGTGGTAGGTGTCCCTTAGATGCTCGATGACTGAGCAATGACTTCATGTGAGCAAACAACAGTAACACGGAACTCGGCAGTGAATCACTCACGGTGCTTCTCAGCCAGGGCAGGATTTTGCTGGGGTTGTTTTGGTAGAAAAGGTGCAAAAAGCCACACAAGATCAGAGGAGGGAGGGGCAGTGCTGGTGGGGCCCCCACAGGAGCGCGGCTCTGTGGACCCTGCAAGGGCAGAGTGCAGGCAGCCCGGGCGGCGGGGGGGGGGGGGGGGGGGGGGGGGGGGGGGGGGGAGGGCGGCGCAGGAGGAAGATGTGGAGGTGGGAGGAGGAGGGGCTGAATCTGGCCTGGAGGATGTGTGTGTGTGTGTGCAAGAGGTGAATCTGGAAAGGTCCCTGGGGACCAAATTGTGACGCATGGGAGGAGGGGCTTTTTTCCACTGTATCTCCTGGGCAGTGGGGATCCTCGGAAATTCCAAAGCAGATTGATATGATCAGAGGTGGTTTCTGGAAAACTGATTCTGGAGGCTGGTGGGAGGGAAAGGAGGAGTCAGCTAGGTATGGTGGCTTTCGTCCAGGCTGAGCAGCTGAGGACCTCAGGCTGGAGGTTCAGCTGACCTATGACTGCTGGGGGAGGGGAGAGAAGGTTCGGGCATTGGGAGGGGGCCCTCCTCTGAGCTGGGAAGCCCTGGAGGAGAAGGAGGAGGGAAGGTGAGGAATTCTGTATGGCAACAACAGGAATTCTGTATGGCAACCAACCCCCAGGTATAGACCTGATTGTGTTGCGGACACAGGAAGCGGATTTCACACCAACAGTCACAACCAGATCCCGTAAACACCCAGTACATACTGGGTGCTGTAGCCCCAGGCAGCCCCCCCGGAACGCAGGCCTCGCAGCTTCAGAGAAAGGGCCTGGACTACCCCTTCTGATCCCTTCACCTCCCTCCTCCCCCCTCCACTGACTCTTTCTGAACCCCACTGGGGCAGCTTTCTCCGCACCTTTTCTGCCCTCTGACCCCTGATTCTATGGAGAGGGCCACTCTGGTTATGGGAATCCCCCAAGTAGCAATAAGACGGGGGAGGCCAAGTGCCCCACCTATTCTGAGTCAGGAAATCGAGCTGAAAGCCACCAGTATCCTTAATCCTCCCCAACCAGGCTTTTGGACCCATAACCACCCCCCCCACCACCACCAGAATCCTGCAGGCCCCTGACAGATGTCCAGCAGGTGTGTGAACTGTGGGTGCCAGGTTCTGGCTCTTTGGGGAA